TTACCAACGAATAGTGGGATTGACCGTCACATTATAACGTCCCCATGGCTGAAGGGCGAGCATGTTTGGTGGGAAGGAGATTCGAACCCGCGACCCTCAGATTGCGAGTCGAGCGCCCTAACCCCCAGGCCATGCCGGGCTATGTTGAATAAACCAGCCTTTCAACCATCGTGATAGAGAATATAGATATAATTAAATAACAATTGTTGGTATAAAATACGTGAATAAGCCTCACATTATTTCTTGCATACAAAATAACATTGATACCGAACATACCTGGTAAACAGAAGAAATACATTGACATAGCTATAGAGATATTTAAAACAAGGCTATATCTCGGCAGACTAGCGGTGTGTACAATAACTTGACGTACATGATCATTTGAACATGAATTATGTAGTATTAGTAAATATATTCGTGACAAATATATTAAACCCATGTCAAGGATTTAGTGGATAGTAATGTCTTGCACAACTAGGTTCTTGAAATTGATTTTAAAATCTCGAAACTGTTGAGAAGGTACAGCTTACACAATGCCGCATGGTCTCAATATAAGCTTTCTGTTATAAGTGTCGAGAAACATTTTTTAGTAAACCTGAAATGGGCACGTGTATTTGCAAACAACTGCTGAGCTTTTTCGTTTGGTTTCAAGATTCAAAAAGATTCCCCCTCTCACCGGTGAGAAAACGGTAAGTTTACGGACTTACAACGCTAAAATCTAGGGTTCTATTCCCGCCATAGATACAGCAGATAGCCCTTACTCTACGAAAAACAAACGGATTTATATAAACTCTTAATTTTGGTACTAGCTACATCACTCAATTTGCTGAAACATGTTATTTTATGCAGCTATTACAATCAGTTGATATACAATTTAACTATATATACGTTTACCAATTTAAAATAATAGTAACAATGTTGAATAATGATATTCTTTTTTCTTTTGTTATTAAATCTCTAATGACGTCATTAGATAATAATTGCATACCTTGTTTTGTGGAAAATAACAATTGACTCATTTTACTGAATAAGAACGTGTGTCTTTAAATTAAAAGCTTGTTTGTTTGTTTTTAATTATGCACAAAGCTACACAAGGCCTATCTGTGCTCTGCCCACCACGGGTATCGAAACCCGGTTTCTAGCGTTGTAAGTCCGCAGACGTACCGCTGTGTCACTGGGGGGCAAATTAAAAGCAAAAAGACTATAAAAAGAAAGAGAAAATGTGCCCTACTTCAGGATGTTTTTATACCTCTTCTCAGGCAAAGATCCTAATTAAATGCTTCTGTACACCGACAGACAGTTTCCATTTGCCATATAAAAGATTAAAGTAATCGAGTCAAACAATTGTGGGTGATGGAGGCCAAACAAAGGTATATTAAAAGTTGAGATATGCCTTATTTTATGATCTATTTTATCCCCCTTGTCGAGCAAAAATCTTAAAACAAAATAGTTTTTGTACACCATCGGATGGTTTTTAGTTACATACCAAAAATTACGGTAATCGAGCCAGCCATCTCTAATATGTGAGTTAAAATAGTTAGTAACAGTACAAACTACTACCTCTTAAACTAGGCTACTTTTGTCTGAGCAAATAATAGGATTTGGCCGTTGTTCTTATAGCTCACCCATGGCTCCAAAGTGTAGAGTGCATACCACAAGTCATTCTACTTACAATCTTAGCAAGCTAGTTTAAGGCCACGCCTGGCTTCTGGATGCTTTCAAGTTCGAAACTTATGCTAAATTATTTCATACATTACATAATTTGAAAACAACACATTATAGAACGTTACTATTGGAAAAAAATAACAAATGAACTTTTTTCACAGCAAAACGTAGCCTAAACCCCACTTTAAATATTGAGCTGATAAGTAAAAACTTAACTCGTGTGATTAACTCCTAAAAATAATGGCAGATAAACGGAAATGTCTTGTCAAGCACCCTAATAAGATAGTTACTGAGATACCCTTTTTACTGACTAAAATTTTAAAATGTATCATTTACTGCCTTTGGTAAGTTGTCCCAAACTCGTAACTATTGTGCGAGTTTCAATAAAGACCAGATCTCCTCAGAGATGTGGTATTTTCCCTTATATTACTTACCAAACCACAGGTAATTGTTGATAAGTACATTTCTAACCCCAGCATAGATGGCGCGAAAGATATTGGGTTTACCAACATGTCTATCTGTGCATTGTATTCATGTTCCGAAAAACCCTCTCTCGGCAGGTTTTAATATTTAAATGCACTTTACAACGAATTATTGCTCAAATATGGTAGACTTTGAGAGGAGCTATAGCTCGAGGAATTTCATTAATGTTTCAACAACCAACAACAGGATCGCTTTTTTTTATGAATTATTAACATTTGTTAAACATATAGCAACAGTTATGTTGTGACACATCAACAAGACTAATCACGATATTGCTATTCGAACTTAGAAGACAACTGTTAATGTCTCATATAAATGAGAACTAGCCTTTAATAGTGTAAAAACTCATATAAAACTATTGGATTTCTTGTGAAGTTTTCCAATGCGTTGTCGTGCTATTCGAATAAAAAGTCTGCACGTAGTTCTATGCAGGTGAACTCGGTGTTTTTTACCTTATTAACTTTTTTGTTTCCTTTACATATTTTAGGACCTAAATTAAAGAAATTAATTTTAGTCTTATTTGCTTATTGGTAATTTAAATCATTTAACTTTATATACGGTTTCATCTCAATAGGAAGGATGAAACAAAATCTATCTCAAATAAACTCTTAAAACCAAGTGATCAGATTTTTCATTTCAAATGAAAACATTTTGTTTTATGATATGTAGGAGATATTGTTTTGTTGTATGACGCGTAGGAGACAGTGTTTTGTTGTATGATATGTAGGAGACAGTGTTTTTGTTGTAAGATGGGTAGGAGACAGGGTTTTGTTGTAAGATGTGTAGGAGACAGAGTTTTGTTGTAAGATGTCTGGGAGACAGAGTTTTGTTGTAAGATATGTAGGAGACAGCGTTTTGTTGTAAGATGTGTAGGAGACAGTGTTTTGTTGTAAGATGTGTAGGAGACAGCGTTTTGTTGTAAGATATGTAGGAGACAGCGTTTTGTTGTAAGATGTGTAGGAGACAGTGTTTTGTTGTAAGATATAAGATATGTAGGAGACAGGGTTTTGTTGTAAGATGTGTTGAAGATAGGGTTTTGTTGTAAGATGTGTAGGAGACAGTGTTTTTGTCGTATGTGTATGACTCATCATCTACATTTTCCTAAATTTAGGTCGCTAATAAGAAAATTAAAACGATAATTGTGTATAATGTGATTCGTTCTGGTTCATTTATGTGATGTTCAATCTCATTTGTTTACCTGTATGTGTGCTTTATTAAAATTCGTTCTGCTAGAAAATCATTTCATTTACGGTATTATTTGTACAAATAGTTTGATATCAGATGACCTTTATCCAGTTTCAACACCATAGCAATTTGTTACAGTTGTCATGAACAGAAGACAATTTATAACTGGTAGAACTTTAAATGTACAATAATATCCAACTTAAAGATATGTTCACAACCGGTATTGCATTGTTAAACACCGAGAAGCTGAGTTGATTACTTAAAAACGATCATTATTCTAACGTGACTTCTTGTAAATTGTCTCCATTTTACTTAGATAATTATTTTTCCTGACAAATTTTCACGGAACTTCAATCCTTCATCTACTGGTATAATAATGATTGACGTTTCATGTAAGAACAGCCAGCGATCATACCTAACCCTGAAAGTAATGCTGATTAAATCGCTTTTTGTAAAACATATATATTTTACTCTTCCCATCGTAAGTATGTACTGAACAAACTAACAAGTTGAAACACAAGTTATACAAACATCTCAACTTGCTCACCCTTTTATATACACGTTTCTTTCTACTAAAGTTTTTGTTAGTTCACAACTCATGCTGCAAGCTGAAGTTTACTCGTTTGTTTATATTTATTTTTTGCCTCTATGGATTTTTTCTATTTTTTAACTCACGATTTCTTTCAATCTGCAGGAAACTTCTAGTCAATAAAGAAACATTTAAACAAACTTATTTATATCTGTATAGTGTCACGAATTTCCTTATTTAACATTTACGAGTTTTCATAGAATTTTATAAACTTAAATTAACGAAAGATACTTTCGCAACTCTATATGTGTGTATATGAATCCTCTCGGAATAATATATAAAAAGGAGTTAAAATATAATCCATGTAAGCCAGAAATTTGCGATATTGGAAGATCGCTCGAGTAATGCGTTTATGGCGAAAACTGCCAGCATTCACATTTCTAAGCCTACAATGAGAGTTTTCACTGTAAACGGGATAGTTCTACTCATTCTAGGATGAGCTAGGATGAACACTCAAACGCTACTCAATCGCTTACATGTTCATCATAAAGTTTCTGAAGAAAACAGAATCGGAGACATTTATGTAAAGAACGGTAAAATCAAACAAGAGAGAATCCTCAATATCCGCGGCACTTAAATTCTTTTATATGGGATTTGACTATTTTATGTCAATGAAAATTAAACAAGTCATTGACTTTTGTTTTCTTCTATCACAAAAACAGTATGATGATAATCATGTTTGCCTGTAAGATAATTCGAGAGTGTTTACCTGTTTATTAAAATTGTGTGGTGAGACTTGATTCTTGTTGTTTTATATTTCAAGAAATAAAATATTTATTTTTTTACATTGTATACTTATACAATTATTATTTTTCTAAACCAAAATACTTTTTTTCTGCCGACTATGATCTTCATATAGTTTTGGAAAGTAGTAGCTCCTGAAATCCTTGCAATACACCTGATAGCGATGAGAAAATAATTTATGTATTTGTTGTTAAGCCTAAAAGCTACACAATATCTCACCGCTAACATTTGTGTTGTTCGCTGATGAACTTTCAATGCTCCTCAGTCCAATAATAGTATTTTGAGAACATACATTTATTTCTATCTATTTATTATTTTATTTCTATTTTTAAAGAGAAACTGGTCGAGAGAACTACTAGTCCTGGTCAGCTAATAGAAGTTGTGTCCAGTTCCACATGTTCCTTACCAAAAGACCCTATCTCCGATGAATTCATCTTGGAAGAGGAAGATATTAAAACTGGAGACATCAGTGACGATGACATCTCGCTTAGCACGGAGCAGATTAAGCGGGAAGATGAACCAAGCAGTTCCGGCATCTCTAGTTATAAGAGCGGCCGAGCTAGTCACTGCAGCGGGAAGGTGAAGCAAGAAAATCCGCAGGTTCTTCCCAAGTGTAACTGTGAAGAACTCAAGCGAGCTGATGCTTATCTAGAAACAAAGGACTTATGGGAAAAGTTCCACGAATTAGGGACGGAGATGATTATCACTAAGTCAGGGCGGTGAGTAGCCTTTCCTTTATGTCAGAGCTGTGATATAATTACCTTTAGAGACTGTATTATAACAAATGTATTTATCGACGCCTTCTAAGATTTTAGTGCTTTTAATACCAATTACAACAGTGTCTTAGAAATGAAAGTAATACAAAGTATTTAAACAGTGATTGTCCCATGTATCCATAGCAACAGATAACGGAAGCATAAAGTTGTGAAATTTCAAATGACGTAAACACTTAAATGACTTATTTATGATTATAACCTTACCCTTCATTTCAGTATTGTTAGCAAAGTCACAGAATAAAACAAAAATCTTATCAAAAATCTACAGAACGCATTAGAACATAATATGTTCCAGAAATTTCCAGATAAGTCTAATTTTTTTTAAGAGGCAGTTATCACGTTTGATGTGACAAACATTGAGAGGCAGTCATTACGTTGACAAAAGTCTCCTTGTCTACTTTAATCAACTATATATATATATCTAAATATGTAAAGACGAATTGTGTGTTTTTTTGCATCCTAACTGTTCCGAGCTTATTGGTCCAATCTCAACCAAAATTTGTATGTAAACACTATGAACTATTGGGAATGTCCTAAGGGTGTCAAAACTCAACTTTACTTTATTTCCATTTTGTAAACCCTGTTGGTTAATTACTCCCAGCCTTTTGAGTCAATCTCAAACAATCTTGGCAGGTTAACACTTCAGACAATGTTGAATATTCTAAATGGATTCAAGGTCAAAGTATGACAGTTGCTGGATTATTTTTCAAACAACTATGCTTTCCTCATGGTCAATGAGATGTATGGTGTTCAAGGATTGGATCACCTCAAAATCTTTATTTGTTCTTAGATGAAAATCAAATTGCAAATGTTGTTTATGAAGAAGCTTTGTTATAATTTTAAAATTTTGAGATCAAGTTTATGTTCAAGTTATTACTTTGAAATATGTGATTGCTGTTAAACTTACATTGTTTTAATTAAGATTAAACATTCTCCGTCAGTTGAAGGGTATTTCAGCTTGTATATAATAAGATTCAATGTGTGTGAGTGTCTGTGTGTGTCACGTAGTCCTAGATTGTATAAACATAGCTAGTTATGACTGTCTCATATCATCACAAAATACCATAGAACCAGGGTCTATTTCAGTTAAAAACAAAAATGGATAGAATAGGAGAGACCAACACCTATCCTTGCGTATATACAAGGTAATATTCAAGATAGAAAGATAGGCCTTATAGGACATTGTACAAATATTATGTCGAAATGTACCAACAAACAAAACTGGATATGTGGTTATTTTTGTGCTACCCTGTATCACAATGTTACATCACTGCAAGGTGTTTCGAAACAAAGACAGAAGACGAGTCATATAACCCATTGTCAATAAAGACGTATCAACTCTCCAAAATCAATTTGAATTAGCTTACGTTTTTGAAAAAAAAAGAAGACATATTTTACCTCTCGGAATTACTTTATAAGCACTAGTTTACAACTAAAATAACAGAGCGTAACCTAGTGGTTAGTTTATCCGATTCATGGTTCGCGCCCCGTTGCAGCAGAAACCTTTCTCTGCGCTTTGTGGCTGTGGATACACTACAAGAATGATAGTCAAACCTCATTATTCCGTCAGACAAGAGTAGTTGAAGAGCTGGTGGTGGATACTGTTGACTATCTGCCTTAATTTCCTCTAGTCGATCGGTTCAAATTAAGAATTGCTATAAATAGTTGCACTTATGTAACTTTCCTGTGAATTAAGTAAACCTCTGAGGTGTTATTACTAACGGACTATTTGGAGGGAACAAATATATGTACATGACAGGTGTTTCCGCGAATTCACATTTTTAAGATGTGCTGTTAATTAAGTAAACCTTTGAGGTGTTATTACTAACGAACTATTAAAAGGGAACAAATATCGTGGTAGCTAACAGGCGCAAACAGCTGTTTGCATCAACTTAACATTAATTAATCAAACTGCATATGAAAGCGATACGTCCAGCCTGTGTATAGTATGCGGTGAAACAGCTCTTACGAATGTATTACAGTTACATTATAGATATGCAATAAGCTGAAAATATCTCTCTATATGTACATATCTACAGTAAGTTCGATCACTATCAGCCTTCCAAAACCTTTATGTTTACGGAAGGAGGGAAAGATTAATTACTTTTAAGCTGAAGATAATAAAATATTATTATATGTATAGCGATTGCTATAACTGTAGAACGTCAGCTATTAGAATAAATAAATATGACGTCTTTTTTGTTTATATTTATGGAAACTTTTTCATTGCGCCATTATGCATACACAAGTTTAAAATATGCCTCAATTTTTTTCACAGTACCAAACACTTATATTATGGCAAAAACACTACGATACACAGATTGCTTAATGTTTATCTAAGAGTTGAATGGGAAGATTTGATAGCGATGTGGATGCATTAGATTGCTTTGATTCTAGTTTTCAGTCATGAAATAGCTGGTGACCGTGAAATGTCTTTAAAGTTTGCGAGCCTTCGTTAACTTCTAGTTCTAGTTATTATCTTGTTAACAGTATCAGGAGATAATCCCAGCTTCATTACAATGACTTTTTGGATTGGAGTATTATGTTTTGTTGCTTCAAATTGGTTTGACACGTAGTTTTGGTGCCATTTTCCTTTAGCCACAAGTATAATCGTTTGTGGTCACATATCACTGCTTCAGCAAATGATAATCGTTCTTATAATGTGCATTTAACCTCTCTTCTTTCAAATATTTCTGTAGCACTACTAGTAATTCACGAATAATTTTGGTGTGGCGTTAAACTTTTTCGTCTTTCACATATACCCAGACAGCTTCAATGATGTTCTTGTGATGGATCTGTGCTGGCCACAGCTTCAATGATGTTGTTGTAATGATTATGTGCTGGCCACAGCTTCAATGATGTTCTTGTGATGACTCTGTGCTGACCACAGTAGAAATTTGAAGGTTTCATGTTTCTCTTCCATAGCAAGTTACAATTTACCACATAGGTGTATCTTTTGGGATCATTGTCTTGTTGAAATATGAGTTATCTTTTAATGAAGCGTGTTTCTGAAGGAAGAGCAACATTAATCAGAATCTGCTTATAATTTCGCCAGTTCCAAACATATGCACTGCCCCCTCCACTCCCCATGTTTCATGATCACAAATGTTCGTTGTTGCTGATGTTGTTCCCCTACTTAGGGCTAATTTACTTTCTTTGATGTTGGTAAACAGTTAACATTGTAACTGACTGTACACACTCTGAAACTATTGGAACTTCTAATCCTTAGCGTTTGAAGACTGTTGTTGTGTTTGATCTTTCTCTGCAAGAGTTGCTGTGTTCCAGCGAAAGAATATATATACACAGAAGTAAGTAAGGCATGGACGTAGGCAGAAATCTGAAGAAAAAAAATGTGAATTTTTTCAAGGAAAAAGGAAATTAGTTTCGAAGTTTTACTGGGAAGCATGCTGTTTGAATGTTTTTGTAATTTGCACTGAAAATATATTCATGAGGGTATATGAGTCTGATATTACACGTTTTAAATGTGTTTTATACATACATATGGACGCACTCCCCCTGCCCATCTGCAAACCAAACAAGAGATTCTATAATTTGAATTAAACTAATGTGACTGAAAAAGTAGAAGAATCAGGTTGCTAAGTAATAAAATCAACCATTTTTATTAAACAGATATAAACTAACGTGACTGAAAGAAGTAAAGGAATCGGGTTGATAAATAATAAAAACAACTATTTTTATCAAACAAACATTTGAAGAACAAAACACGTTACAGTACTTAACGCAAAACATTAGAGTTATCACTGACAGAATATTTGCCCCCCCCCCAGTAGCACAGCGATATGTCTCCGGACTTACAACGCTAGAATCCGGGTT